GCGCACAAAAGCATTTAGGTACAGGAAAAAAGTGCTTTTGTGTGACTGGGTGATGAATGAGGCTTGTAGTAAAAAGCACTCTCCGTGGTTTGTTAGTGTTATATAAGCACCACTCCATTTACTATTGTACCATTTCTTTTATCAACTCAGAGTCATTGCCAAGATAAAGTCCGGACTTCCTCAAAAGGGCCTGGAAAAACCCTTTTATCACTTCCCGCCTGGACGACTTTATTACTTCTACTTTGGTACAGAATAACCATCTCTGTGCCACCTGCTGTAAGTCAAGAATACAGCAGTTCATCTTTTCACTGGTATTGGAAATCATGAACACGTCCCTTCATTGGTTCCCTGTCCATTTTGGAATTGACGTTAAGATTTTATTGCTAATGTTTAAGATTTTTAAGGGGACTGCGACCTTTGTATCTGTCTGAGCTGCAATCATAAAACACATTCATAAACCTGTAAGAGCTCTGATATAAATGACTTTCAAATACATACAAAATCCACTGCTCATAAACTGTCTAAAATGTTTTGTTTTGGGTCTGGACTTATTTCAGTTACTTATCTCCATCATCATCTAACGTGATGGAACGCCAGTCTAGTAAGTTTGGCAGGCTCTGAAGGGAAGAGACTGCTTCCTCGAAGTTCACCCATATCTCCTCAAGCTGCTACTGCTAAGTCAACTGTAAAACTGTGTCAGGCAGTCGGCTACATGCATGAAACACCAACTGTTCTGTTGTTTGCTGAAAGAACGACAATCAAGATGCCACGCACTCCTCACACATTTAGTGTTAGCATGGCGCACAGCTAATGTATTTGATGTTGGCAGTTGTTTTAATGTATCTGTGTAATGTAATGTATTGTTATTGCTTAAAAATTAGCACAAAAAAACTTTTCGTCTTACTGAGTTTGTCGTAGAATGTGAGACCCTCAAACATGCGTTGGTACATCAGAGCTTGTTCTTCTTGGCTGTCTGGGATCAGTTTGTTTCCTTGGGACTTAAACTGGCTCTGCCATTGAGGAAAGAAAAAAACGTGCACACATATGAGCTTGTTACTGTTTGTGATGTTGAATTTAGTTGTAGGGTCAGTATAATTCTTAATGAATTAGCATCCTCACCTCCAGGTAAAAACAGACTGCATAGGAGTCGTTCACAATAGTGTTTCTATGTTTGAATGTTGGAAGCTGTGGAAAAAAAATTATAACGTGAGCAAGACAAACTATCAAAGCTGCCATTTGAATCACTTGGATACCTGAAGTTTGCTACGTTAATTGCACTGAGAGCCGCCAGTAGCAGATTGCTATGATTACATATTGTAGTGCATCACAAAGTGCAACATATAACATATTGTAGTTTGTTTTTGCCTAAGTTAGCTGCTAAAGCTGTAGCAGGCATGTCACCCCTCACATCTGCAGAGCAACTTTTAATCCGTTATGCCCAAGGAGAAATCAGGTGAACAGGCCAGTATGTTAAGATCTACATTGGCTAAGATTTTGTAATATACCAACAATCAGTGTTGACAGAAGGGCACTGAACTGAAACAGCTGCTCTTGGGACACAGCCCAGCACTGGCCAAAGGTCAACTTTCACAGCTGCCTTTCTAAAAGTTAAAAAAAACTAAGAGGGGCAGGCTGAATAATGTTGTGTAACCAGCTTTACTTACCTAGTAGAGCAACAATACATAGATCATGTTGATGAGGATGAGGTTGTTGAGGTTATTATGCAAAGTGATTTTAAGCATTAGACTTAATAATATTGTATGGTACATTAGCTAAGGTGTAATTTTCTTAAGGCCCTACCTGTCCCCTGGGATTTATATCTAACACTTCTTTGGACTTGTGCTCCATTTTATCGAAGGACAGCAGTTTTTGGTTGTAGCCCTGCAGGTTCTTCTCCTCCAGAGCGATCATCACCCTCCAGCAGGGAGGCGATCCGGCCCCCCACAGCAGAGTCATTGCCTTAGCCATGGTTTCAGAGGGAATTCTTACAACGGAGAGTGAAGTTGTGGAGGGATGATGAAATGAAGACAGCAGCTAGAGAACCACTGACAGATAGATTTATAGCAAGCTACAGCCCTTCCCATTTTATTGTTACGTATAAAGATCGGTGCCTTAACACAAGACAGATCAAACACGAGCAGCCCCCTTAGTAACAGCACTGCTGATTAACTATTAACTACATCTGTGTGGATTATGACTCGCCGTGGGAGACATTGTGGCTCCCTCTTCTTTACAACGTTGCTTCAGTTCATTGTGGTTTGCGAGCATTCATTCATGGACAGCTTTGTTTTAAAGGGCCTGCAACAGCATTTCAAGGTTGAATCCAAGTTTCTGACTGGGACTCTGCAACACATTATTTTTTCTTTTTCTGTTATAGATTTGCTGTCTTGTCATCTTGTTGCTTGAACCAGGTTCAGCCAAGCTTTAGCTGTTGGACAGATGGATTAATTTCACCCTAGAGGACTTCGGGATCCAGAGGAGTTCATGGTTGACTCAACATTTAACATGCTAGCTGAGGTCCTGTGGGTACAAAACAAATCCTCCTCAGCCCAGCTTTACAGCTGGTGTGAGGTATTTGTGCTAATATGCTGCATTTGGATTTTGCTACATGTGGCGTTGTGCATTACATCGACTGTACAATTTGGTCTTGTCTGTTTAAAGGACACTGTTCCCGAAGTCTTGTGTTTTGTTGCAGACTCTCTGAGCATTTCCAGTCTGACCTAGGGATGAAATTACTGGGATGTCCGCTCCTAAGAAGATTGTGGTGTTGTGTTAACACAGTGTGTGACCAGCACACTGCCAAAACCTTCCTTTTTATAGTGGTGCTCAAAAAAATAACTAAACATTTAATTACCAACACTTGGCTGTGACTTATCCTCTCAGTTTCTATAGAAGCAGAAAGTTTGAACTTAGTTTTTCATAGGACTGCATAGAAGACTTATTTTTCAAATGACTATATAAACTGTATTTTTTTAAAGTGACAAAATCTATAAAATATAACACAAAAGTTTAGTGAGTGTTTCACTGTGCACATTGGTGGCTAATTTCAGGTTTAAAGAGCCCTCGAGTTGTTTTATTTGCAGTTCCTGATACCTCTCAAAATAGTCTTTGATCATGGTTTACATTTTAACAACCTGCTGTTTCCACATTGCACATCCACTGGTGATATCGCTGGATGATTACAACTGATAAAGGTTATACGGGGGGGCAGATAACATTCACAACTCACGTGATCATCTCTTAAAATCTGTTGAAAACTCACGATGACTTAGCATGTCATGTACATGGAAACTGTCCAATGGATGTCTCTGATGCCGCCTATGTAAAAGCAACCCCAGTTTCTCTGTGACGCGTCCTCACAAAACTCAGAGAAAATGTCCACCTGAGCAGTTCCAGAATCAGTGTGGCAGTGGAAAAAAACGCAATCACTCTCCACTACTCTAGGTCTGTTGTGGCTTCCAGATGATAATCTACCACAACAAAAGCACACGGTTTTCCTCCAACACACTCCTGCAAAGTATTATTTTCATGTTTTAATGGGTTTGACACAATAATTAAAAATTTCTCCATAATAAGAACTTTTGCACAAGTCTTCTTTAGCACGTCATGTTTATTTATTTATTTTTTATTGGCTCAAAATGCAAGATTGCGTAACACTGAACTATGTGATTTATGCAAAGTCATGACAACACATGCATTCCTGTACTGTTATATGACTGAGGGGATGAGCCTGGATAGCTACTATACGACTAATGGAATTCAACTTTTGTTAAAATGCAAAATCATGCAAATGGTGCACTACTGAACTATCAGCCCAAAGCAATGATAGCACAATGGATTTGATCAACTGTCGAACAGGAAAAGCCAGTTCTAGTCACGTAGCAGAATTCCTTTACTGTGGTGTGACTGGGAGGATGAAACTGGATAACTACGTGGCTTACTATTGAAGTAACCTGAACATGGTTAGATCACAGATTGTCTATTAGGGTAACAAAAGCTGCTGTGATATTACATTAAGTGTGAGGAACTCCCAGCATGAATCTTACTATAATGTGTGACTGTCTTCATTGCTTCTGCTTGAATTTGTGCAAGTCTAGCATACAGTGTTTCCCGTAAGGGTGAGACCTTCAGTCATGCATCGGTACATTAGTGCTTGTTTCTCAGAACTGTCAGGGGAGGAGAAATATTCAACATTTTCCATGTTTTTATTCTTGCCGTTTACCTCGAGGTGTAAACATGCTGCACGTGGGTGAATGCAGGGAGCTAATAGAAAGAAACTGACAGAAGAAGTCAGGCTGTGCGGCTCAACATTGTGTTCCATAAGCATCTTAAGACTTTTGTTCATTTCAGAAAAACAGAGAAAGATTTGCACTACACAAAAAGTACTCACAGTAAGAGTACAATGCATGAGAATTGATCAGTCAGCAGTGTCCTATATCTGTGATGCCCCAGATGTGAAAAGAGAAGCAAATGCACCAAAATGGCTTCAAATATGCGCTACAGTTATTTATAGAAGTTCATAGATTCACAATAAATCGACAGCTGTTAATGAAAAAAATCATTTAAATTATTTAAGGTGATAATTTATTTTGCCACTCTTTCCTACTTCCAATATTACAGTACATTTTAAAACTAGAAACAAGCTTCAGTCTATTCTCTGAAAGCAGCAACAATAAAGCCAGGAGGTGTAAAAACTAGCAGTGATTTCTGGAAGTGATCCTGGGCCCACGCAGTGATTTCCATGACAGAATCATGCCAGTTTTTAATGCAGTGCCGCTTGAGGCAAAACATCCTATAATGATTTTTGGTCTGGGTGCTCGCACACATAGCTTTCTCCAGATTCACTGACCCTTTTGATGACATAATGTGCTGTTTTTTAGACTTTTTCTTCTCTCCTTCTTTTTTAAGATACATGGTAACCTGTATGGAGGCACAAGAGTTACATTGTTTTAAATGTGAAAATCCTAATAAAAAAGAAATATCTCCACAAAACAAGTGAATGTTTTTGTTTCTTGGAAGGTTTTTTATTGACATCACAGAAAAAGATGCAAAGTCATGACTTCTGCTGTGAAGTTAAACTGCTGTCAGAAAAAACGGAATAGGTATGAGTTACCAAAAGCTGCAAGCAAAAAAACAAGAGCTGCTCTGTCATTATGTAGCATCATCTATGGATGAATATCAGATGTCTTTCAGTGTATCTTGGCCCTTGGGGTTCTCCAACCAATGAGGAGGCCAGCTGGCTTTGACACTGGGTCTCTCCTTCAGCAGATTGTAGTACTCTCCCAGTTTAGGATAACGCTCTGGTGACAACCTACGAATCAGAATTAAGAAGGATTTCAAGTCCCATGTCTATAGATCATCCTTCATTTTCCTGATGAGACCACATGGAAATACAAACAGCCTCTGCGTGCTTACCCAAACCTGAAGAGAGTGCCAACTGTTGGGAAAACGACCACGTCTGCTAGCGTGAAAGACGGTCCTGCCAGGTAAGAGCCTGAGCCCAGCTTGAAAAAAAAGAAAACAAAAATACAGTTGGAACAAATCAAAGCAGGCCGAGTCTGTCGGAGTTTGTGTGTTTATGCACATACCTTCTGCAGGTAACTCTCCCAGAGTTTGAGTTCAGTGACCAGAGCTTCTTTGTTCCTCTTCAGAGCCGACTCATGTCTCTCACCTTCAGGGACATACCACTCATAGTAGATAACTGCA